TCATAAAAAATCATCTAATCCAAAAAGAGGTCTTGTTTCTAAACCAATTTTGCATTCAGCATACAACTCGCGTGCACAAATAGATCTAATTGATATGCAATCGCAGAGTATAAACAATTACAGATTTATAATGAATTATCAGGATCACTTGACAAAATTTGTTATACTTAAACCACTAAAGACTAAACGAGCAGAAGAAATAGCATATAACTTAATGGAAATTTATACAACTTTTGGAGCGCCAGCAATTCTACATTCCGATAATGGAAGAGAGTTTGTTAATAGTGTAATTAATGAATTACATACTATGTGGGGCGATGTTAAAATAGTGCACGGAAAACCAAGACATAGTCAGAGTCAGGGGTCTATAGAACGTGCGAACCGGGACGTGGAAGATATGTTGGCGACATGGATGGCGGAAACAAATTCAACAGATTGGCCATCTGGATTAAAATTTATCCAATTTCGAAAAAATCGTGCTTTTCATTCTGGTATGATAAGTAATTAAAAAATTAATAATTAATTTTAAAAATAATTTTAATTGATTCTTTTTAGGTATCGGTCGATCACCTTATGAGGCGATGTTTGGTTGTCCAGCTCGTTTAGGTGTTGTATCAATTGGTTTACCGGTTGACGAAATTAGCTCTTTGAAATCTGAGGAAGATATTGAATGTATTTTGAAGTCAAACAAAGACGAGGGAGTCGAAGAAAATGTACCGTGTACTAGTAACTTGGAACAAGTGACTAGTGACATAGAACTTGGTAAAAAAAAAATGTAATATAGTTTAATATATTTAAGTTAATAATGTATTTATTTAGTTGATCAACGAAAACAAAATATACTTGATGCACGTCAATCATCTGCTCACAATTTAGAAAAACAGGCACTAAAAATGGTTAAAACATCCAATAGAAAATATGATGAACTTAGTGTTGGAACTACAGTACGTCTGAGTATTCCAGATGTAGATCGTGCTCGTGGATCACCAAGAAATGTATTAGCGGTTGTAACAGAAGTTAAGGACGATTTATACAAGCTATGTAAGAAGTTCACTAGTATTTTTATAACGTCTTAATCATCTTCGTATTCAAACTCGTTATAAAAATTAATTATTTTATTTTTTCTAATTGTAGGCACTGAAAGTGGATTTTTAAAACATATGTACACGAGATCAGAAATAAATCCTTGCAAAGCAAATTTATTGGATCTAAGTACTGTTTTAAAATCGGCAGGTCAATCAGAAAAACCGTTATCACTTCGGGAGGCAGCTACTGTAAATAGTATTTCAGGGGCACAAGGATATACCCGATGTCAATGTAAGACAAAATGCAAGACGAACAGGTGTGCTTGCAGATCGGCATCTAGAATTTGTAATTCTAAATGTCATGGAAGTTTGCCATGTGAAAATAAAAATGAGTAACTACGTTGCAAATCATAAAACAATGTGAAAAAGCTTAAATTACATAAATTAAAATGTTAAAAAAATACTTGTTTATTTATTGATTATTTATTAAGGTGATAGTAGATTAATTAATAATTATGTTTAATAAAAGAAATATTTAAATAAATAAGTCAGATTAAATTTAAAAAATGTGGCATCTTTGCCTACTATCGTTAGGAAATGATAACATATACTAGGCGATGATATCATTTCCTTCCGCTTTTAGGAATTGTCAACATTTACTAGGAATTGTCATCATTTCCTAAATGTCAACATTTCCGGTAACATATATACCTATTAGCATAAATTCGGGAGTGGTAAACTGAGCCCCAAATAATTGGGTGGATATTAGGGCTAGGTAAATTGAGTCCCGAGTAATAATATTTTTCGAAAAAATAATTTATAAATGACGATAACTTAAAAATAAAAAGTCTCTACATTCAATAAGTACTGTTTAGTGACTGGTTGCATCCAAAAACAGCACACTTTTGATTTTGACCTTAAAAAGGTCGATAGCCAAAAACCGCACAGCTTATCGGTCATTGTACAACAAATTACAGTACATTTATAGTGGATTAAAACCGCACACTATTTTTAGTGAAAATAGTGAAAAGATAAAATTATAAGATATGTACTATTCAATAATCAAGTACTTAGTTGTCACTCGTTATAAGTCGGTCTCGATTAGGTTAGTGTACCCACGTCTATAATTTAGTGTTAAAACGTTAATATCTTAAATTTTTATAATGGATTTTAAAATTATTGAAAGTAACAAAGGGGGCAAGTGCTTATTACTTGACGATTTTAAAGACCGAAAATGTAGAGTCAATACTAGTGGAAATGAGGTTTGGCGGTGTTATATTAAAAATTGTACATACACAGTTACAACATGCAGTCAATTGAAGAATATACTAAAAATAACTAACACTGCACATAATACATAAACGTGAACAGGTGGAAACTGTGAAAATTCAAATTCAAGAGGTACGTAATGTATGTAAACGCAAGGCTTGTAATGCCATTCATGAAAGACATCGAAAAATAATACGGAAAGAGATATCATCCATAGACAATAATGCAGTAATAGGAAGCAATGACGTAAATTTAATAAGCAAGTCGATATATAATGAACGTAGGAAACTTTTGATGCCGTCGGCAGTCGGTTTCAGCCAATCAAACGTTGAAAGTTTTAAATTTTTTTTTAAATTAATATTTTAAATTATTGAGTATATACATTTTTAAGTTGACATTAATTAATATTATAGGTCTACAATTTTTAAATATATACATTTTTTTTTAAATGAACTATGAGATTATAAATATGAATTATGAATTATACATATACATATACGTTTTTTGCTATCGACCTTTTTGGGGTCAAAATCATAACTGTGCGGTTTTTGGATACGACAATTTTTAAAATTGTGCCGTTTTAATCTATTAAATGTGTGTGGTTTTAACCTACCAAAAGTGTGTTGTTTTGTCCTGTATTTTATCAAAAGTGTGAGGTTTTTGGAGTCAACGATAGTGACTATAGTCACCAATTAGTGATTATCGATTACCGATTTAACGACAGTGTTTGGATAGACCTTATATGAGCACTAAAATTATCACACTATATTATCCGTTTATCGATTATCATAAAAACGTATCGTCCAATAATACGTCAATTTTATTATATCGATGACTGTGACAACTAGTCACCGGCTGTAGTTCAAGTGTTCAACTTCGAAATTACGGTTCCTAAAATTATTACAAAAAACACTGTGGTTTAAAACAATGGATTTAATGACAAGTGAACGAAACAAGACAATTTTTAAAGTTTTCGGATTTTTTCGACAGTAACTAATTAAAAAACGCTTTGTGATACAGACAATATATACGTAGGCGGAACATTTAAAAGCTTTCCAAAGTTTTGCCATGTTAGGAAATAAAGAAATTTGTACTTACATTCAAATTTTCAAATATATTGTAACTTATTGTGCAACAATAGACTTAACATTTTAGCCAAATCGAATTTTCATTGAATTCGAGATAAGTTTACATAATGCTGCACATGTTTGGACCGAATGAAATGTTTAATTGTTCTCATCCAAACATTTACAATTTCATTGATATTCTTAAAGAATAAAGATATTCAAATAGATACAAATATAAAAATACGTAGCAAAGAAGTAATTAAAATGAAAAAAACAAATATAGAAAAAACAATTTTTTTGAGACAAGAAATGTTGAAATATCAAAATAAAAAAATAAAAAAATTTGAATTATCAAATAAATTTTTACCATGTACATAATAATAATAAATAGTATCTAATAAAAATAATTTTAAAAAAATTGACTTGAATTTGTATATTATATATATAATTACTTGTGATTTTTATATACAACGTTGTAAATTTTATTAGATATTAAAAACAAAAAATGCACATTTTTAACTACACCAGTTATGTTAGCATAACAGACAGCCCTTAGCCTGTAAAAGTGGGAAGGAAAATGTGCTTTTTAGATACTTATTCGGGATTCAGTTTACCTATAACCTTTTCAGACCCAGGACTCAGCTTACCACAAAAATGGTACATCGGACTCAATTTACCTAGCCCCCATAAATTAAGCATATATTATATTATATAACACCTAAATCTTATAGTCAGGTAGATACAAATAAATTATCCACAAATGGCATGAAAAAAAGGGCCGACCGTAAATGTCCTGGTCGCATCGGTGCCGACACCCTATAAGAAGGCTTTAGTCGTATAGGTTAGGTTACATACAACATACCTATATATCAGTGGCCGTACATCATTTGCGTACCAGCCGCTTAGCTTACGTCCTATTATCATATACAGCTTATGCGCATACGCATATTTAACTAGGTATTAAGGACTAGAAGAGTTTAGCAGTAGGTACCCAAAATCAGGCACGAATCTCGCAAAAAAATGTAAAAAGATACACAAAAAATGTTCTACAAGTACGTAAAAGCATAAGCAAGTTTAAGTTCTTATGGAGAATAAAATATTCATCATACATGTATATTAATAACTTTAGTAACAAAATTACACTTCATTGAATGTAATATATAATACTAAATTATACAATATAAAATATAATACTTAATTCGCTTTTAAACTTTTTTTTTTCAATGGATGTGACTGTTTTCTAGATTTCCAAGTGTTCCAACGAAACTGATAGTAGCAGAAATTAGCCGAAGACATTAAAATATACAATAATATGGAGTTACTGTCATCTTAATCGGAAAGCCAGAAAAACAGAAACATAAATTTTGTCTTCTTTTTTTGTCTTCTCTAACATATTTACTTTAGTTAATACTTAATAATCTGAAAATTAAGGTAATTTTATGAAATATTTAAATAGGTACCCAATACTTATACCTATAGCCTACAGGGGTTTCAGTAAACATAGCTTCCCTTGTATTCAGGTCTGTCCAAAACCATATGTTGCTTACTAACTTTCAGCATACAATTTAGCTTTAGAGTTATTCAATTTTGAAATATTGAGTACTTAGATATTTCATATTATAGGGCAAGACAATTATTAAAGAGTTCAAGACTTCGGGTGATTTGTAACCACGTGACAAACTCATAGATTTGTATCACTACAATAAGTACATAGGTATTATAATATTTACTATAATTTTTATTTTAATTACTATGATATATATATATATACAAACACACACACACACACACACACACACACACATATATTATATAACAATTTCGATTCCAACTACTACAAATTACAATCGTGTATGAAACAGTTTTTAGGTCGGGACTATACACAGTGTATTCCGACCGGTATAGCCCATTCTAATTTAAAAAAATGTAAAATTAGAAGATAGCATTTTTATGGGTGGCCCCTTTTTTGGCCAAAATGTACCCTTCCCTTTTCGGACACTGTCACTTTTCGGCCAAAACTTACCGTTCCCTTCTCGGCCGGTTTTCTTTAAAATGTACCTACAATTATAACAAATGACTTAACAATTTTCTTATTTCCACCTCAATATTGGGCTGCTGCGTCGGGAAGTTTGGCTAGCACAACTAATGCTTGCGAGTCGTTCCACTCCTTTTTCAATCAAAGCTTTTATAAACATACTCCATCCATAATGAGCTGGTTAGCTGTCCTCATTAATGAAGTTCAAACAGATATATACATAAAAATTAGAAGTATAAACATTTTAAAAACACCTCGTGATGCAAAAAGTGTGGAACGGCAACGAAGAAATGAAGCTTACATTGAAGATTATAAAAATAGTAAAATATGTCGTTACAAATGTGTAAAACAAATATCATACAATTATAAAAAGTGAATTTTGTTATCATAATTATTATAACATAGGTATTATAAGACTATATTAATTTTTTTCTACTAATGTAATCGGAAATCATAATATTTTCAATGTTGACATATTTATGAATTATTGAATTCATATTTTTATATTACCTATATAATTATTATTGCATAGGTATTATAAGACTATATTAATTTTTATGCATTTTCGTTCAATGTTCATACTTCATACAATCATTAAAATATTGTTTTAAATTACATTTATTGATATGATAACAATAATAATAAAATGTTATAACAGTTTATTGCCAATTGTTTTATTTTTTATTTAATTAAACATAAAAATTGTTAAATTCAGTTGTTATAATTATACATTTTAAAGAAAACTGTCCAAAAGAGACAGTGACCGAAAAGGGAAGGGTGCATTTTGGCCGAAAACGGTGACGCCCCATTTTTATTACTTCGGCGTTCGTCCGCAAAACGTAAGCCGACCGTCGTTTTCCTCCGCGGGTAGAAAAAACGGCGTATTACATCCGTTGTGTATAGCTAATCCTATATAAACCTATGCATTTTGAATTTAGAGAAATACACCTTGTATAGCGCTGGCTTTAGGGGACTATTAATTACTATTAATACTACCTATCTACTAGTATCATAATATTTATCAATAAAATATAATATTATAATTTGAAATTTAGGTGATAAAAATATAAATATTGACA